GGAGCTACCTCAGAATGCACTACAATATACACTTGATTATTAAGTATCTATTCAAAATAGTATATTTTCAAATTGTTAATCAGCTTATTCTGGTATGCTTTTATTTTAATTACTTTAGCAGTCAGTTTTGATTTAAAACATAACTCTCAATAATATTCTAATAGGATTTTAATAAACTAGTGGATAATTTAATGGTTTTATAACTTTAGAGAATCCCTAAAAAGCATTCATAAATTAAGTAAATGTCATGGATATTTCAAACCCTACAAATTCAATATAAAATAGTTATACTTCAGGATGCGGCAGATTTTTATGCATAATTAATCCATCAATTGATATTTAAATAAGCGTTAATCAATCATAATTCATAGGAAATTCCTCTATTCAATTTTAAAACTCAAGAAACTACTATAAATAATAAATATTTGATAGTAAGTTTGATCAAGCATCTTTGATAGATGTAAGAGCTTCAACATTTGCCATTAAATTATTGATTGCAAATTGTACATTTTAAAATTTAGGAGGATCTTTAAAGGGTAGTATTGCTACATTATAAAGTTCAGGGACTTTGACTCTGATTTCTATCTCAAATTAATTCAGAAATAATTATGCCTTATATGGAGGTAGTATTTACTGTCTTAAGTGTTAGCTTACTCTATTTAATAACACATTTATCGGTAATATGGCAAATTTTGGAGCTGATATTTATATTGAAAATTCACCAAAAATATAATTTGATTTTGATAGTATCATTTCAAATAATAGTGAATCATTATTGAGTGGAGGATCTACAATATTGATAGATAATAATTCAGCGAAACAAAATTAGGTTAATATATTTAAAAGCAAAAATCTATTATCTTAATTTAACAACGTTTAATCAGCTAATGGAATTATTGTGATTTAGACTAATGGATATCTTGATTTGAATATAAATGACACAAATTTTAATTAAGAAAATAGTGTCTTGAAGGGATGTATCATTTGTATACAGTCATCTAGCGATGCATAAATTGATATAATTAATACTAATTATGATACAAATAAAGCGCTTTAAGCTGATGGCTCTTTTCTGCTATTAGGTAATTAGTTAAATAATGTTCAATTATCAATAAATTAATCTAATTTTAATGATTTAACGACATCTAATGGTGGAAGTCTGATTAATTATGGATCTATTTAAGCACTGTAGTTGATATTAGCTGATACTTTTGTGTAAAATTATTTTTCAACAAATGGGGGACTTATTTGCTCAAAAGGAATTGCATCAAAAATTAAAATTATAGATTCTAGATTTGATAATATATCATCTACTTATAATGGAGGTTTGATTAATATAGAATAACTCGACTCATCTAACGAGATACTTATAATGAATTCAGAATTTGATAATATATCATCTTAAGCTTATGGAGGATTAATTTATCATTTAGGTGGTTCTATAAAATTGAACATAATAGGATTAACTAAAATATCAAAACTAAGGAGTTCAGAAGGAGGACTCCTTTACTCTAGTGGTTCTCTAAGCTACATTTTAATAGATAAATCAACTATATATCAAAGCTAAGCCTTCTCAGGTGGCTTATTTAAGATAATTTATTCAATAAATTCGACTTTAATAATTTAGTCACAATCATTAATTGAAAATATTTTCTCAGGAAGTGAAGGTGGAGTTTACTATTCATCAAGTAAATAATTTAACGTAATTCTAAATGACTCAAATTTCAACAATATAACTTCTTTATCAAATGGAGGATTTATATATTACTCTAGTGTGACCGAAATAATCAACTTATAAACCAATAGATGTTATTTTAATGTCATTAACTCACTATAAAATGGATCATTTGCTTATGTTAATGATTAACTATCACCTAGTATAGATTTTAGTATTTAGAATTCAAATTTTACCTGTCGAGATTAAGGTATTTATTATAACTATCCAATTTATTATAACTAAATCATGTAAAACATTCAATAATCCCATAATTAAATTGGAGGCTTGTTCTATTTTACGCCATCATTATAAGGGCAAATTATTTCTAAGTCCAATCAATTTAAACTTTGCTACAACACTAAAATGGGATCAATATTTAGGTTATAGCCTAAGATTTAATTTTCAGATTCCTCATCAATTTACTCTTAAAATGGTGGTGAATCAGGTCAAATTAGTATTAATGGAGGAGGATTCACCTATAATTTATCTAATTTAACATTCAAAGATTAAGTCTCTTAAATCGGATCTATAATTGATTTGAATAATTCAGCGATTATCAATTTAAAAGATTCGCTGATATTCAATTCTAAAGTATTTAATGCAGGAGGAATATTTTATGGTTAAGGTACTGGATTTGCATCTATAAATATGATTGATTGCAGAGATACTATATAATATATTGAATCGTATTCTAATGGAGGAATTTTATGGAATAGTAATCCAAATTCGAAATTAAAAATTTAGAATTGCAACTTAAAACATATTTACTCGTAAGGAATTGGAGGTATCTATTAAGATAATAAAACCGAAGAAATAATCCTGCAAAATGTTACTATTAATAATATAACAGCATTATAGCAAGGCTCCCTAATATACACAAGGTTTGAAGGCCAAAAAATTAATATATCATAAGTAAGAGTGAATTGTTCATATGAATAACCTTAGTATTCAGTTTATAAAAATAGTGTCAAAGCAAATATCACATCATCTGGTAGTTTGATCATTATATAGAATGCAGATCTCTTTATATAATACTTAGAAGTATAAAACTGCTACTTATTTGATGGCAGTTTATTTAAAATTGAAAACACAACAGTTACTGATCTAAATTCAAAATACTATGGAATTGCTGCACATTCTGGGGCTATTGGATCATTTAAAAATATTATTGGATCATTCAACAATATTAGTATTCAGAATGCATATTCTTACACCGGTGGAAGTTATTATGTTACAGGTTAATCAATTTTAGAATTTTCTTATTTAAAAGTGAATTAGAGTGAATCTTTTGGAAATGGAGGCTTTATATTTTCTTCAGAAATATCCTAAAAAGTAATTATAAGAATTAGTAATTCTCAGATAAATAGCACTAAAAGCATAGAATAAAGTGGAGGAGTGATCTATATTGATGCATTAAATTCTGAACTTTACCTAAGTGAAACATCTATTTCAAACTCGCATTCTGAAATCAACGGAGGATTTATCAATGATAGAAATGGAAATTTAATAATAATAAATAAATGCAACTTCAGCCATGTGAATTCTCTTTAAAATGGATCAATCATTTTCTCAGAGAACCTAAGTTAGAAGATAGATATTATTTAAAATATAATAGACTGTGAAGGATAAGATGCTAATTATGATAATGACTTTTTACTCCGTTAAAACATCGTTTTGTTTGGAGGCGTAATCTATGCATTAGATTCTAGCTAACTTTATTCAACAAATAATATTTTCAAAAACTGTCTAAATAGAAATAATGGAGGAATCTATTATTTAGAGAACACTACTTTTTCAGAAATAAACTCGTAATTCAGCAAAATTTCAGCTATCTCTGGAGGAATATACTACTGCTAGAGTTGTTAGATAACAATTGATTCATGTATTTATTCGGATTTCAAGGCAAATAATGGTGGGTTAATTAATATTCAAAATAATGCAAATGTTACAATTGAAAATATTACAACTTTCAACTCTTAAGCGTTTAGAAATGGGGGATTAATTTATGCTACTAGTTTCTCGGATTCCAATTAATGCGTTATTATACTTAAGAGATACAATTTTTTCAACTAAAGCTATGCTCAATAAAATGGTGGATGCTTTTATTTTGATAATCCTTAACTCTAATTTCAAAATTTCTAGCCTTTTAAGATTCTGAATAGTCGAGCGATTACTGATAATGGAGGAGTATTTTACATTAAATAGTCATCTCTCGTAGAGCTAATGGATTCTAATTTTACTGATTATGAGTCATTAAATAATGGCTCTTTCCTGTATACTGAATATAGCAATTTTTAACTCATAATTATCAATAACACCTTCAACAAGAAGAAGGATTAATGGATAGAATAGAATAGTGATCTAATGGGATAGTTGAACCCAGGCTCATTTTATCTGAAGAATACAAATAATACCATTTATAGTAATAAAAACATTTTTTAAAACAATTATGTATGCTACTAAGGCGGAGCAATCACACTAATAAATGCTAGTTTGGTAGATACTTTATCAACCTACAAATATAATAGTGCTATTTCAGGGGGAGCTATTTATTGTTAGAATTGTACCTTAAATATTAGTAAATCCTCATTTTAATTGAGTGAGGCTCACAATGGTGGTGCAATTTTTATAGATAATCATTATGATTAGTTGCTTCTAAAAGACATCAGCTTTAATAACAGTCTTAGCCTTGATAAGGGAGGATCAATTTTTATCAAGGGCTCTATAACAGGAACTACTGAACTTAATAATATGTTAATCTTTTAATCCGTAAGCAAAAAGAATGGTGGTGTATTCTATATAGACAATAAAGGTTAAAGTATAAATATGAATAACATTACTATTAATGATTCTTTCTCAAGTGATAGTGGAGGAATCTTTTATATTTTGAACTAAACATAACTGAACATTACTCAATCTTAATTTCATAACTTTAATGCTTCATAAAAAGGAAGTTTTATGTACTCTCAGAGTTCGAAGCTAGATTTATTTCTTGCGGAGAATTTATTTCAATGCTATTCTCGCTAATTTGATTACTAAGCAGATTTAAAAGGAAAGATTGAACTTCTCCTGCCTTTGTATGATATTGCAGGTGCTTTTTATATAACTGATGCATTAATGATACGATCTTATTCTTAAATAATCTAAAATTGTTATGTTTGCTAGACAGGTTCAGGATATTCTCTCTTTAAAACATAATTCTATGATCAAGATTCATAGTATAGCTATAATTCTGCACTTTATGGAGGAGTTTTTTATTTAGACACCACTTTTGTAAATCTTACAAACACTAGTTTTTAGAACATGTATGCTGTATCTGGAGGTGTGATATTTATTTAAGATCTTTCTCCAACTATTATGATGAAATCTTTGATTAATAATTCAATCTCTAAATAATACGGAGGAGTATTCTACATAAATGAACCGAGAAATCCAATTGGTGCAAGTTCATTTAATATGACTTATGTCAATGTTTCCAATACATTTGCAGGAATATCTGGAGGTACATTTTATATTGATTCAACTTAGCTAAAATTCCTAGATATATATTAAAGTTAGTTTTTAAATTCATCAGCAATAGAGTCTGGTGGAGTAATATTTGTTTCGAAAATGGATGGTGTACTTTAAATTTCATCTGACACAGCAATGATCTAAAAATCGTTATTTAGAAATTTTAAAGCAAAGAAGCTTGGATCATTACTCTACTCTTCCTACCCAAATTTTTCAATGACAGTTAATAAAACTATAATAGAATCTGAAACTAATTTTGATTTTAATTATGTTAAAGAGAAATTATAAAGCTTTCAAGCAGACTATGCTGGAGCAATTTATGTAGCAGATTCTATTTAGGGAGTATCTTCATTTGACAATGAATATAGATATTGCTATTTTTTCAACTAAGGAGCAGTTTATACTATCAAAGATACTAAATTCAAAGAGATAAACTCAATCTATCATGAGAATGCTGCCATAGGAGGAGGAGTTATTCTCTGCATGAGTTGTGAGATGAATGTGAATAATTCAGCATTTTTTAAAAATTATGCTTTTAGTGGGGGAGTTTTTGTCTTTGATAATTAAGTAAGGGTAAATATCACATTTTCTAACTTTACAAACAATACTGCTTTAAAAGATGGAGGTGCTTTCTTGGTAAGTAAATCTAAAATTGGTGCACTTGATACTTCTTGGCTTTAAATATCTGATAGTTATGCTACTCAATATAACTAGGCTGATTTAGGAGGGTTTTTAAGCACTGATAATGCATTTATTTAGATAAATCTTACAAGGATAAAATTTGATAAAGAATTTGCAATATTAAAAGGAGGTATTATTCATATAATTGACGCACTAATCTTTATGATTTAGGATTCAAATTTAACTAACTTCGAATCACCTGAAGGAGCTGCAATTTTTTCTCAATCAGCTAATGTTTAAATTTTTCTTTACAATAACAATATGATATGCAAACCAGATTATATTCAGTATCTTATTAAAGATTTCCTGAACTTACCAGATCCATTTTACTAATTACAATCAAATATCTTAATAAATAATGCGAGATTCATTGACTCTAAGTACAATTTATTCTAGCATTGTTTCATTACAAACTTTGGAGGTGTATTTACACTATCTAATACAAATTTTTAGGACTTTTATTCCAAATACTATCTTAATGCAGGGGCTTAAGGAGGAGTTTTCTACTTGCAATAAACAAATGCTTCGATATTATATTCTGATTTTGATAAAAATATAGGTAATATTGGTGGAGTCATCTAAATGAATCAAAATTCCTATTTAAGTGTTAAATCTTCATTTTTCACAAATAATGAAGCATATTTTTCGGCAGGTGTTTTGTTTGTAACAACTGAATCTTATTTTAATATCAATGGGACAATATTTAACAAAAATTAAGCAAGTGAGGTATCAACAATTTATGTTCTATAAAGCAGTCTAACAATTAATAATACCATTAAGTAATGTGACTTCACTTAAAATAAGGCAGTGAAAAATACTATTACTTTAATGTATTCCAAAACCTATATAGAAAGTTGCTTTTTCAAAGACAACGAGGCTACTTAAAGGTCTAAGAACTTATTCCTTGGTTTTTCCTAGGTATATATACAGAATTCTAAGTTCTTGTAGACATTCTCTGATTAGTTAGAAGATAGAATATATTCAGGTCTTGATAAGACTAGAGGAACTTTCATTTTCATCATTACAGATGTAGACATTGAAATAATCAATTCTTAATTTATGAATGGTTATGCTATAATGGGAGGAGCAGTATATCTATCAGGTTATAGCAACCTTAAAATAATGAAGAATACTTTTAATAATAATTTAGCATTCACCAACGGAGGGGCTATTTATGCTGTTGGATTTGCTAGCATTTAAATTAGTGATGAGACAAATTTTAAATATAATCTAGCATAAGATGGTGGAGATGACATCTTTGTTTCTAATACAGATCAAAATCTAACTTTATTTAAGGTTAATATATTGAATCCAAATGCCAAAAACTCAATTTATGCAGAATAATGTGGAGTCCAGATTTTAAATAGTACAATATCAAATGTTAATAATGAGAAAAGCACTTAAGGCGCAGGTTTGCAATGTTTCAATTGCAGAAATATTTAAATAATTAACAGCACTTTTTCAAAATTATACAGTCAACTTGGCGGAGCATTATATATTGAAGAAAATGAAGTTAATAAAAAAATAACAGATAAAATTGGAAAATATTTGATAAAAAATTCAATTTTTGAAAATTGTTAAGCTTCAGTAGCTGCAGGAGCAATATTTTTTAATAACATCTAGTATACAACTATTTAAAGCAGCATTTTTAGGAAAAATACTGTTTTGTATGATTAATCATATTCTTAGCAGGAAATATCTGGTACAGGAGGAGCAATTTATTATACTTGCGATGAAACTTATCTCAATTGCAATTTAGAATTCGCTAACAAAAATTTTTTCTAAAATAATTTAGCAAAAATAAAGGGAGGTGCAATATATTGGGATGTCCTAGAGCCAAAATTCACTGCAAAAGATATGATTTTTTCTGGTAACAAGGGTATCTACTATGGAAATAATATTGCTACTTTCTCTTAGAAATTAATTATGATCAACTAAACATTTTATATAAATCTATAAGTGGATCTTGGAATTATTAAAATCGATGATTTAAATATATTAAGACAACTAAGTGAAACTGAAAATTATTTAATTAGCAGAAATTTGTAGAAAGAAGGAGTAATTGATGAATAATAAGGGAAAATTTAAAATTAAAGAAGCGGTGGTAATATCCCTACAATTTACTTAGCTCATATTGATAAATATGGATAAATTCAAGCTTCAGATAATACAAGTAAGATAAAAGTTTATGTAAATGCTGAATAATCCTTAAATAACAATTAATCACATATTTATCCCCCTATTATTGAGGGAACGACAACCTTTGATACAATAGCAGGAATGGTATAAATTTATGGACTAAGTTTTTCAGCTTCACCTGGTAATAAATACACAATTTCTTTCAATTCAGATGGAATAGATTTAAGGAAAACTTCTAATTAAGAATTTATGAAACAAATTGGTGAATCATAGTCTAATTTAGATACAAATATTATTCTAGAACTTAGAGATTGTGATATAGGCGAATAATTTACAGAAGAAGGATAATGTATTAAATGCCCTAATTAGTAAAGTTTTTCTTTGGTGAAAATGACATCTCCAGGATAATGTGAATCATGCCCCTCAGATAAAGCCTTATGCTATGGAGGTTCTAATGTAGGACCTAGACCTGGTTTTTGGAGAACGACCAACTCATCTTCCTTGTTTATTTAATGCCTGTATGAGCCTGCATGTTTAGGAATGGTTGAACCAGAAAATAATCCGATAGGCTCCTGTTAAAAAGGTTATCAAGGCGTATTATGTGCAGATTGTTTAGTGGGTTATTCTAGAACAGGTGATTTTTAATGCTCAAAATGTCCTGAGAAAACTATTAATATAATTAGATTGACATTTATCATAATTGCTTTGATAGTAGCTGTAGTGATAATAGTAAGATCTACTCTATAAGGAGCACAATAAATAAGAAATGTTACAGGAATTTACTAAAAGATCTTGCTAAATCATATTTAATTGATTTTACTTACTGCGTCTTTTAGTTTAGATTGGCCAAGCTAGCTTTTATCCTTTTTTGATTCAACTAAGCCAGTTGCTCAAGCCTCAACATAAATTTTTAGTTTTGATTGTTTTCTAGATTCAAGAATAGAAAACTAAACTTATTTATCTAATGATCCTCCATTTTATGGAGTGAGAATAATTTTTATTAAATTGATATTTTTGGCTTTTGCACCTGTGATGCTTTTGATCATATCAATAAGCTTTTGGTTATTATATAAAAGATTAAAGAGAGATGGTTTAAAAATAGAGTAAAAAGCTGTGTCTACAATGGTGATAATTTTGTTTTTGATCCATCCAAATATAGTTCAAACAATGTTTTATGATTTTAAATGTCATAATATTGAAGATGAGATGAGATTACTAAATGATCTTGAAGTCATTTGTTGGAGTGCTTAACATAGTCTATTTAGTTTTTTCTTTGCATTACCTTCCATTATTGTATGGGGAGTAGGAATACCTGCTTTTGCCTATGTACTAATGAGAAATTTTAGATATAAATTAGATCAATTAGAAGTTAAAGAAATGTATGGATTTTTATATAGAGGTTTTAGAAAGGAGTTTTATTTCTGGGAGATTGTTATTATGTATAGAAAAATGATTCTTATTTTGGTAGCAGTTTTTGTAAGAAGTCTTGGTGTCTTAGCTCAAGCATTGTTTGTATTCTTCCTTCTTATTTGGTAATTATTTTATACTTACATTTTTATAGTTTTTTGATTATTACAATGAAAAACAGGCCTTATAGTACTCTTGATCTAAATAATCTTGAAATTGTGTCCCTAGTTACTTCTATGATATCCATTTATTGTGGAATGTTTTTTATTACTGATTTACCAGAAAAGTGGATAAAAGAAAACCCTGATTTTGCAAATGGTGCAGTTATTCTTGATCCGAATACAAAGTTAGCTTTCTTCATCATTATTGTGATATCAAATGCTTTCTTTTTTTGCTATTGGACCATTAAAATGTTTGAGGAAATTATGCAAAAACTTAGGAACTCTCTTCCAAAAATATATTTATATATGTGTGCTTGTGGAGATATAAACAAGCTTTAAAGAGAAAAACAAATATTTGATGTCAAAATGAAAAATTAATCTATAAAAGAATAGTATTTTATAGCACTTGCACTAGCAAAAAAACAAATTACAGAGGCAAAAATAGTTTTGAATTAGGAAAATTATGAAAGAATTTTCAAAGAAGTTGATCCTTAATTAGTCTCTAAGATGGTTCAAGATATCGTATTTGAGGAGTATGATGACATAGTATACAATAAGAGATAATATAGAATGATTTAAGATGGTTTAAATAGGGTAAAGTAAAATCTGGGGAATTTTAAAGTTTAAAATCTCACTCATCGAGAAAAAAGGGATTTACTAAAAGAATCTTAGTTATCTGAGGAAACCTAATATATAAAGAATTATGATTCGTAAAGATTTAATCAAACATCTAATAAATAAATAAGATAGATAACTCCTTAGACAGAAATCCCAAGTCAAAAAGCTATAAACTTTAAAAATGATATTTAGATAGATGATGATGATCTATCTATAACAAGAGAATTTAACGATTCTAGCATCCACAGAAATTTTGAAGAATAGATTAATAGAGAATAAATACAATCGATGAAAGGCTCTTTGAATATTCTAAGATAGTTTAGGGATTGGAATTATGATGAGCTCGAATACAGGATCAACAGGAGATCTGAATAGGATTTTTCTTTGAGTAAACTAGACATTTTCAATCATAGTTCTTTGGATAGTTCAGAGATAGTAAGCTAAAGAAACGATATTAAAACCCATTTATAAGACAAATAATAGTTAGAATATATTGATCATGACCTAAGGTTTTAGATTATTGGCGGAAATGATATTTAAATTAATGTGCTTTAAAGACCAATAGTCAAGCGAAAATCTAAAAAGTAGGTGAAAAGTAAAAGATTAAGAAGAAATAAATAAAACTCAATTGCTTAGAATAATATTGATATCTAAGGTCTATAATCCTGAGAAAATATATCTACTGAAATTTAATTTTATAATCGAATTTTTTCAAATAATTTAATCATAGTCTCATGGGGTTTTGGGGTTTTGGGGGG